GATGTCATCTGGAGGTTTTCCTTTATTTTTTTTTTTCTTAAAAAAAAAAAAATTAATGTTTAGCTGCCAACCTGGGCGACAGACAGCATGCATTAATCTGAGTCATGCAAAAGATCCTTTTAAGGCAGCCATTATCTGCTCAGGCTGTTTAATCCTTTGGGGGCAGTGGGAGGGGCCTGAGTGGGACAGCTTTCATCCATGTCAAGCTGCAGAACGAACACTTGAGCTGTCACGGCAAATATTTAGCCCCGTCGGTGGGGAAACATTTCCAACGAAAATACCTGAACCTCCTAATCCCTAGATTTCCTACTTCTTAAGAGCTCCCTGTGACTATTAGGGGTCGCCACCCCCACACGCTGTTGAATAAGGGGGCACCGGGCCAGCCGAAGGGACACATGAGCTACAGCCAGGTGGGGTGAACGGTGCATGGCGGTGGGGCTTGGTAGGAAATGTCAGACTGAACGTAAAAATGGCAACAAATATTTGAATAGACCATTTGAATCGGACCGTATCTAGAGGGCCGCAGCTCTTTTTCTATCAAAATGCGTGAGGAAGGATGGCTTGACCAGACAGATGGCCTCTGGTGGAGTGGCATTGGAAGAAGAATCACGGGCCGTACTGAAGACCTTTCAGATATCCTGCCCACAAATGAAAGGGCTATTTTCCCCTGACAGCTGAGACCGTAACATCATTCCATGACTTACATCCGTGACCAACCGCGGACTCACTCGGGATTACGGTAACTTGGTACCATCACCAGGTTACCACGTAGTAGCTGGAACACACTGGCAGAACATGTCCAGACATCGCCATGAAACAGGGTGACCTTTCATTCATTTTTCCAGTGGATTCACCTTTGTGTCTCAGGGCAAATGGAGCAAGAGGCATAATGGGCAGAGTCATTAGCCTGTGTCCAGAGTTCTTGCATCAGATGCCAACAAATTGATTGCATTTGCCTAATGCTTCTCCCTCGACTATAGAAATCTCACTGGAAAAATGGAGTCAAGCTTCCTGTCACGGCTCTCCGTGTGAGCAAAAACAAGTGACACAGAGCTTGCTCACAGACGGCCCCAGAAAGCGGGCAGGGACGAACGCTGTGGAATGAGGTGCGGCCTGGCTTCAGGACGAGCGAGAGCGTGGCCACGGAAGGGCAGCTCTAGAACCACTGTCAGTTCACAGCGTTTTCCCTGCCCACATGTCTGACTCGCTTTGAAAAGATTAACAGCAGTGTTTGTTTGAAAGGCAGACTCCTGGTTTCCTCATTAGCAGAGAGATTGGCTGCAGACTTCAGTTGTTTCTATAAACTTTGATTACCTCTCTGATGAGGAGTATAGACCTCCTCATCACATTCACCCCAAATTTACAGAGGAGTTCATTCGAGAGAGAGGGAAGGAGGAGAAGGGAGAAAGGGAAGGAGGGGGGGAGAGGGAGAGAGAGACAGGCAGAGAGAGGAGCACACTAGCTCTCCCTGCTGGAATAATAGGCTTGAAATATGAGGAAGTTGATCAACCCCGGATGCCTTCCAAAAACAGATTAATCCACCCTGGTAGCTTTCCTTTCAGAGCAAACTCTTGGCTCCGTTAAGTTGCTCTATGGGCCTGAACACAAAAGGACACAGGCTACATGCCATCCTGAGCTTGGAGTTATTTTATACGTTGGTTTCAGAACTTAACAAATTTCAAAACGTTTCATTCTTTTGGATTTGCTGATGGCACTTTCTGAAGAACAGAAATTACCCCAGGACACCATCCTGCATCTACAGTGGTGGTTCTCAGTGGGGGCGGGGGAGATGGTGGCTTTGCCCCCCTCACCCTACCCCCAGAACACTGGGCAGGGTCTACAGACATCGTTAGTTGTCGCCATGCAGGGTGTGGGGGCACCACTGACATTTGGTGGGCAGAGGCCAAGGACGCTGCCAAACATCCTACAATGCACAGGACAGCCCCCCACCGCCCCAACAAATAACTATCTGGCCCCACATGTCAATAGTGCTACTGTTGGGAAACTGATCTACAGGACACAGGGAGCACTTCCTGGCATCCAGACCCCCTAGTAGTTCCCAAGGGCAGCCTGTGGTTGAGAAAAATGCAGAAGGATGCAGGGAAGGTCAAAGCCGGTTTCTGAAACCATAAATGCATGACCCTAACAAAATGAGTTTTATAGACAAAGCTTTGCCATTCCTGGTAAAACTTCAGCGTGTGCAAAAATGGAGTATATACATCAAGGCCCTGCGGCCACTTGTGTTAACAAAGCAGTGAAGCACAGAACCAACGAAGCGAACCAGGTGAAACTGAGGCTGTATTTTTCTACCAATGTGGAACAAGTCTAAAGATAGACGTAGGGGAGAGAGCGGTGGTGATATTCACTGCCACTCATTCTCATTAGTATGGCACGCATTAGAGCAAATCATAAGAAATTGCCAATTTTTAATTGTTTGAGGCCTACAGAAACAGCAGCTTCCTATGATTCAACCTAAATATTATGTATAATGTATTATGTTATTATATATTAATATAACAGTGTCATATTATGTAGGATATATTCTATTAATATTCATCTGCTCATGCATCCATTACATTAGCATTGCATAATTTTATGTTACATCTTGTTATTATTATGTTCATATCACAGATTACACTTATATTAATATTGGCATATTAATATACTGATGATAGAGGGCTGGTCAACTTTTTAAAGTAAAGGGCTAGACAGTAGGTATTTTACGCTTTCTGCCAACTTTTTAATGGAAAGGGCCAGATAGTAGGTATTTTATGCTTCCTGGGTCCCACGATCGGTCCGTGTCCCGACCACTCAACTTTGCGGCGGTGGCTCCACAGCAGCCCCGATAATACATCAAAGAATGAGCAAAGCTCCTTCCAACGAAATGGTCAGTGTGGCCACTGAAATTTGAATTTCACGGGACCTTCACGTCAGGAAATACTCT